CTTTGGCAGAAAGACCACAGTAATGAAAACCACGTTTCACCTTTTACATGCATAATTGGATGAGATCACCAGATGCTGGGGTTAAGATCACATCAACAGGAAAAGTTGAAAATGGGAGCTGCATGGAAAAACACTAGAACCAATTAGCTCTGTCAAAGACCATATGACCAAGTATAGGGGAGAAAAATAGATTTTGACCATGAACTGACCTCAGGTCACTTCACAATGGAAAAAACCAGCAAGATGGCTCTTCTTACAGTTGTTTGAGGCTTTTGAGAATAGCAGCAAATACCTTGGAAATTGGTACATCATGGTCAGTGTTGGAAAACGCAGGTTACATTAGTTTCGTTTTTCTGACTTTATTATGACAATTTTCAGACACAGAAAAGTTTTAAAAAAATCATACTGTGAACAGCTATATGTCCACCACCTAGGTTCTACCATTAACATTTTGCTGTGTTATTACGTAACTCTGCACGTGTTCATTTTCCTATTAATCTGTTTCTCCGTCTTACGGTTTTATGCATTTCAAAGTAAGTTGAACACATCCAGAACCTTCCGTCTGGAGTACTTCCACATGCATAGAATTAACTAGAGTTCAGGATTTACATATGGTTCATGTTTCAAGAGAATACTACATGCAGTGAAATGCACATACAAGTGCACTAACATGATAAATTTTTTGGCAAATGCATACTCTTGTTTAACTAAGAACTTCATTAAGATGGAGTACATTGCAATTACTCCAGAAAGTTCCCTTATGCCTCTTCAAAGTTAAGTCCTGCCCTGACTCCTACCCTCAAAGGCAGCCACTCTTAGGATATTTCTCGTCGTATGTTACTTAATTTAGCTTGTTCTAGAACTTTAAAGGAATGGAATCTTGTAGAGTGTACTCTTTTTGGGTAAAGCTTCTTTCACGTAGGAGAGTGTTTTTGACATTCATGGATGTTGTTGCCCGTATCAGTAGCTTCTTCCCTTTGATTGCTGAATAATGTCCATACTATGGCGATGCCGCAGCCTCTGTGTCCATTCTCCTGTTGATGGATACTTGAATTGCTACCAGCTTGGAACTGTTAGTGAGCAAAAATGCCCTACTTTTCTTGTGTGTGGGTACACAGGAATGGAATCACTGGGTTATACGGTAGGTACGTATTTAATTTTGTAGGAAACTTCCTGACATTTTCCCGAGGTGTACTACTGTTTTACACTCCTGTCAAAATGTGGGAGCTTTCTGGCCATTCACGGCAACCCCTGGGATTGTCAGCCTCTCGAAATGGAACTGTTCTGGTGGATGTGTAGCGTCATCTTATTTTGCTCGGTTTTAGTGCTTGTTTTATCGTGTACTTAGCTAATGACGGATGATATTGAGCCCTTTTCACGTGCTTGTTAATCACATCAGTCTTCCTCTGTGAAATCTGTTCCAATCCTTTGCCATTTTAACCGTTGAGTATCTGCCTTTTTATTAGGTTGAGGTTTTTTTTTTTTAATATATTCTGGAAAGCAGTCCTTTGTCAGATATGTTTCATGAATATTCCCTCCTAGTTTGTGCCTAGCCTGTTCGTTTTTTAAAATAATATATTTTGTGGAGTTTTCCATTTTGATTGATTGTAATTTATCAGTTTCTATTACTTTTTGTGTCCTGTCTGAGAAAGCTTTGTCCACTCACAGTGTCACATATCAGATGTCTACTTATTACTTATAAATTGGTATAACCATTTAAAAATTAACTTAGATCTTGAAGCTTTCACCTAATAACAGAGCTTCTCAGTGGCTATGATCTTACAGTGGCTAAGAGAAATCTAAATATCTCAACAAACTGTATAAGGACAGTGGTTTCAGGCTTTTAAATTTTTTTTCAACACTCAGGATATTTTCTAATTTTCTCGAGCCTTTACCTAGAGGATGGGGAGGGACGGCAGAAGTGTATTATTCTCAGGCAAGGGAGGAGAGAGTATAAATTGCTACGGGAAAACCATCTATTCAAACATCCCTCTCTTTTTCTTCCTCCCTCTTCTGTGAACTAATGACTGTTGCCCAACCTCTCCTCCCACTGTTCTCTCTGATGAAGGGATCACAGCTTCCAGGCATCCTGAGTCCATCCTGTTTGCCAGGCATTGCCATTTGGAATCGTTGGAATAGCTGTCGTTCTATCTATATTTTAAAGCTTGCTAGTGATTTTTATTTTTTAAGAATTTTATTTATTTATTTTTAGAAGGAAGGGAAAGCAGGGAGAAAGAGAGGGAGAGAAACATCAGTGTGTGGTTGCCTCTCTCACACCCCCTACTGGAGACCTGGCCCACAACCCAGGCATGTGCCCTGATGGGGGATCGAACTGGTGACCTTCTGCTTTGTGGGATGCTACTCCACCAAGCCACACTGGTCAGGACATAAAGCTCACTAGGGATTTGGACAGTGTATGACTTTGCATTATCCTTGAGAGAACTGTCAGACTATAAGTAAAGTAGTGAACTATATTAATAGACCTACTTTCACAAGTGTTCAGTTTAACCATTTATTTTTTCTATTGGAGGAAAGCAGTGATTGCTAGTAAAACACTTGAGCCTAAAAGCTGACTCTTCTATTTGCTGGGAGGGTCATTCTCCACCCTTTCACCTTGAGTGTGATTTTGTCTTTACAGCTCAGATGTGTCTCCTGAAGGCACCATGTGGTTGGGTTTTGTTTTCTGATCCAGTCTGTTACTCTGTGCCTTTTTCACCAGTGAATTCAATCCATTTACATTTCGGGTGATTATTGATGTAAGAGGATTTTTTGGTGGCCATTTTATCTTTTGTTTTCTGGTAGCTCTGTGCCTCCTTCGGTTCTCTTTTTGTGTTCCTTGGGAACGTGGGCATCTCCTTTATATTCTGGTCACCTCCACCTCAGGGGACCAACCCTGTGGGGGAATGTGGCGGGCAGTGGGGTTCCAAATCCATGAAATTCCATTGCCGTCTCATGCAGAAAAGAAACTGCCAGAAAACAAAGGGCAATCAATCAACTGAATGGCAGAAGATACTTGCAAACAGCAGGTCCGACAAGGAGTCAGTATTTAGAAATTAGAAAGAACTCATAAAAACTCAACACCAAACAAACCCAAAATCCAATTAAAAAATGGGCAGAGGACCTGAACTGACACTTCTCCCAAGGAGACATACAGATGGCCAGCAGATATATGAAAAGATGCTCAACTTCATGAGCTGTCAGGGAAATGCAGATCAAAACTACAAGGAGATAACACCTCCCACCTGTTAGAATGGCTGTTAGCAACAAGACAAGTAATGACCAATGTTGGAGAGGTTGTGGAGGAGAAGGAACCCTCACTCACTGCCGGTGGGAATGTAAAGTGGTACAATCACTGTGGAGAACAGTATGGAGGTTCCCCCCAAAATTAAGAATAGAGTTACCATATGACGCAGCATTTATTCGCAGAGGCATACGCACCCATAGCTTCGTTGTGGCATTATTCGTGGTGGCCAAGACATGGAGAAAACCAGGTATCCAGCATTAGATGGTTGGATAGAGGCAGTGTGGTGCGTATATCCAGTGGAATACTACTCAGTCATAAGAAAAGATGAAATACTGCCATTTGCAGCAATGTGGATGGACCTTGAGAACATCATGCTAAGTGACATAAGCCAGACAGAAAGAGCCAAGAACCGTATGATTGCACCCATAGGTGGGAGGGATATAACGCTGAAACTCACAGACACAGACAGCAGTGTGGTGGGTGGCAGATGGAGGAGGTGAGGGCAGTGAAGGGTAAATGGGTTCAAATCTATGGTGAGAGAAGACGATTTGACTTTGGGAGGTGGGCACACAGTGTAGTATACAGATGATGTGTCACAGCCCTGTATACTTGAGACCTTCATAACCTTGAAAAAATCACTAGAATATTATTCACAGACACAAAACAGTACAATGAGCTGACTGTTCCTCAGGTCCATGTCAGCAGTTGATTGAGGAGCGAAGTCTAGCAGAATTTTGAGAGGACATCCAGTAGCGCTGTGGTTGAGGAATTTTGAATACCGTATTGAAGGTTTTAGCTTTGTTTCATTTTTCAAGGAGCTTTTATAGATTTTCATTTCATTAGATACAGAGGAGCAAAATTCAAGACAAAACAAAGCCAAGAATTGTTCCCACCCCGGAACTAGAGTGGGATGAGTGTCGTTTTGGTCCCCACTGGATTGGCAGTGGGCAGTTATGAACATGCGTATGCTGTGTGTCTGTGTATACATACACAGACACACACACATTTTTGCGTGTGGGAGATGGCTTGAGCAGTGGTGGCGGCAGTATATATTAAATTTTGATAGAAGAGTTAACAGTTTCTATGCCCTGGCTGGCGTAGCTCAGTGGATTGAGCGCGGGCTGCGAACCAAAGTGTCGCAGGTTCGATTCCCAGCCAGGGTACATGCCTGGGTTGCAGGCCATGACCCGCAGCAACCGCACATGGATGTTTCTCTCTCTCTCTCTCTCTCTCTCTCTCTCTCTCTCTCTCTCTCTCTCTCTCTCTCTCTCTCTCTCTCTCTCTCTCTCTCTCCCTCTCTCTCTCCCCCCTTCCCTCCTTAAAAATAAATAAATAAAATTTTAAAAAAAAGGGTTAACAGTTTCTCCTGTGTCTTTCTTGAAGACCTACCAGATTTTTTCCCCAGCCATTTTTGTTCACCCAGGGGTCCGATGTATCTGCTCATTGCCCGTATCAAGCTGTGAACAATCACGTGACCAGTGAAGAAGTCTCTAAGGAGGCCAAAGAGATTTTTAACTCCTTACACAATGAAAAATTACCTTTGGGATCTAAGAGGTCCGTTTCTATTTATTCCAGCCTGCTATGTCCTCTAATCTCAACATCCCAATTCGGTGTGCTTTTGAGCTTTGAGGCAGCAATATTGAAAATGGAATGAGTTGAAGGGGCAAGGGTGGTTTGTTGATAACGATTGGTGGCTAGAGTTTTATACCCTTTTCTTTACTCTTTTTTTTTTTTTTTTTTTTTTTTACTGTTACAGAAGAAGCTACTATGGAGGAAACTGGGCCAGTTTCAGCTTTTCAGGATTGTTGTCCTGGATAAAGGAATACCAGGTAAAGTTCTTACCTATCTTTAATTCACTAGGTTTTATATGTGTCGTGTAATTGAAGAAAATCCTAGGCTTCATCCATAATATACTCTTTTTTTATCTTTTTAAGTATACTTTATTGATTATGCTATTACAGTTTTCCCAATTTTCCCCTGTATCCTCCCTCCAGCCTGCACCAACACTCCCCCTTAGTTCATGTAATAAACTATTAATACTTCATTTTTACTTTCTTAAAAATTATTCAGTCACCATTTCAAGTAAGATTTTTCCAATGCCTTCAAAGTAGAGATCATGCTTTTTAAACATAAATAAATATGTTGGCTGAAGAATAAAGCACATACACTTGACCCATTTTGTCATCATTCTATATGCCCAAATATAAAGCAGGTTTTTTCTCCCAAATAATTTATAAAAAAACACTTCAGTTCTTATAAAATGTCGCCTGTAGTAGTTGCTCTTTCTTCAGTTAGTACATTTTTGGGGGAAAAAACACTATTTGGGGAAAATACATTCATTTGAAATGATCTCAGTCGTTTGTGGTTTTATGTAATTGTAGAAGTCATCTGACGGAATCAGTGAAAACAAAAAGCAAGGAAAAATTTTAATATAAATTTGGTAATTTTTTTCCAAGGGTAGTGTCTCATGACTGTAGCCATTGTATGTCATTGTAAAGAAGTATTTCAAAGCTTATTTTAAGCATACTAATGGGAATTGCTTATGTCGTGGAGTTCATCAATTTTTAAGAGATGGAGTTAAAAAATCCTGTCCTAATTTTAGATAAATTGTGTATGTGGCTTGAAATGAAATTCCTGCTGAGAGCGTCATACAATGCAGTGATGGAATGAGAAGCTGATATATCTCAGAAGAATTTAGGCAGTTTAGAAAGGAGGGTGTTATACTCCAGAAAAGTGTATTCAGTGAGCTAAACTAATATAGCTAAGACTTCTTAAGCACTTACTTTTGCTAAGTAAGCAGCACAGTAAGCGTTGGAGTTGGACTGATTAATTTTATGGCGTGCATGACTCAAAATGTACTTCCGGTGATGACAAAGACATTGGTGTTGAAGATTCCATGAAGAGTCAGTTTGAATAACATTGTTATATAGAGTGTGGAGAAATGACCAATATTTGTAAAGTAGCATTGCATGTAATTCAAACTATGTGTATATAAATCAAGGAAGTGGTACAAGTAGACATTAAAATGTTTTATCTATATGCCTTCAATGTTAATATATTTATGCTTATCAGGAACCGCTTTGTGAACCTTATCCTTGGGGAGCCTCTGTGAGGGTAATGTAGTGCTCCCATACTTCCATGGGAGAATGTAATCTGGAATCCCGGAGCACCACCAAAATACATTTCCCCAGTGGCTGCGTAGGAAAGTTTTGCTGCGTGAAGGGATTGAAACAAAAATTGGTGATGGGTTAGATTTGTTAAACTAAAATATTTTTGTAGACATTTCTTTTATTTTAACACTCCGTTTACTCTAGCATCATGACCCTGTCGTGGGATCCTTTGTCCCCTCACTCTCTGTCACTGCTCCACAGTTCTTACCTCTAGGCCGGGAACCCCATGTCTACACATTCCAAGTTCCTGTTCTTCACCCCCTCTCGTACTCCTGTGGAGGTGTTTAATGTTGCCAGACAATTGCACTTAATTATAAGAGATGTCTGCTACTGCTTTTCTTGGGTTTACAATGTTAAATTTAAGACAACGAAACTTTTTAAACTAAATGTGTTGGGGTGACATGGGTTAATAAGATCACACAGGTTTCAAGTGTACATGTCTATGGTGCATGATCTGTGTATTGTATTGTGTACCCACCACCTGCAGTCAGATCATCCTCTGTCACCATGTATTGGATGTCTTTACTTCCCTCCCACTCCCCGCCTCTGTTAACAACCATACTGTAAGACAAAGAAACTTTTAAAAGTAACTGTTGCCCTACTTTATCAGATCTGTAAGTTTAGACATTTTCTGAGCTGAATTTACTTAAAGGGTATTGTAGTAATACTTTACTACTAGTTGTCTGGGTATGTGTCAAATATTTTTAAACTTTTTTTTTGTCTGAGAGATGGGTGTGAACTAGATTAAACATGTAAACAGTTTAAAACGTGATCCTTGACATTTGAGAAAGGTGTATGTTGGCATCTTCAAAATTCCCCTGTATTTAGATCTTGCCGTATCATAATTTTCTCCTTAAAATATTGTATAAGTAGGAATTACTGAAAATTTTAAAGGATCACTTTCAATCCTTAGTAGTAGTTTGCATCCTTTTATATTTTCTTATTTTTATTGTCTTCCTCAATATAAAATATTAAGGGGTTGATTATTTCTGTTGTTTACTAAAGTCCTGAGTTCTGTTGGGATGAGTACTTTTCCAAAATATTTTTTACATTTATGCAAAATTGGACATGGCTGGTGATCAACCTTGAAAGATCAAAGAGTAACTGGAAAGAATTAATTTTGAACATGCTGTTTCAACAACAAAATGTACAAACTTTATGATTACCAGATCATCAGAACACATAGGCCTGATTCTCAGCAGATGGAACATTATTTGCTACGGTTTTTCAGCAGTGTGAAAACAGCCACGCCCAAATGACTGCATCGAAATACCAAGTATGCTGATAGGAATTTGTAAACCAGACCAAGCTTTTGATAGGACGGATTTTATTCTTTGTTTGTCTCGCTTTCCGTTGAGGTTGGCGCACTGCGCTGCTGCGATTGCCTCAGTGGCTGTGCAGTGATGTCCAGCTTTGAGCTTGGATGGGCGGGAAGGACAAGCATGAATTTGTAAATGTACGAGTTTCCTCAGAAGGGTACAGCCTCAGGTTGCTCAGTTGGTTACAATTTCTCATCTGTGTTTTCTTCAGGAAAAGAGTGACGTTGTGAATGAAAGCCCGGCATGGCAAGAACAGATCCTTGCAAATGAGGAAGCCATTGCTCTTAGCAAGGTGGACAGAACCATTCAACATGTGCAAGCGTTTTGTTACGCCAGGTATGAAAACTCTCGATTCAGGATAAAGTTAATGGCTTCTTATCAGTACTTCAGAAGAAGCTAACAATAAGGATTTATATATCATTGGTTGCTACGTGTCTGATATGCTGGTTTGCGTTTTTTAAAATGTAATTTTCAGTTTTCTCTCTTTAGATAGTAATAATAATGATAATAATATCCTGTATTAATGACTTGTCATTTACCAAACTCTTTTAAATTTATTATCTTACTTGATTGTTAAAGCTATCCTGTGTTATGATAGAGTGACTAGCATTAGTTGCATTGTTTTCAACATCCTTAGTAAAACGAAAAAAGATTAATTTGCTGAATGTCACATTGTTTGATAAATGTCAAGGCTGCAGCCAAGCTGGTTAGTAAATGGAGCCTAAGATTAGAACCCAGGATTTTTACATTGTAGTCTGCTGTTTTTCTAGCTCTTCTGAGATAATGTTTCAAGTAGCAAAATGGCAAATACACACTGTTTTCCTTAGATAGTGTTTATCTAAGAAAATTTATGGAAAATTATAGTTTTGCATTTAAATAATCAAATTGAGTGTTTCTAACATTTGGGGCCATACCATAAATCAGGAGAGAATGGTGGGAAACGTCGGTGTTTTCAATGTGTCTGGCTGAGAGACTTTAGTATTTTAAAATATTTGAAAAATTCATTTCTTCACATGATGGAGTTTATAGGCTGAGAAGTAGTAATTGCATAGTTCAGTGCAATAACTTAGGTAGTTATGGAGTTCACGGGTTTAGAACAGGGGTGTCAAACTCATTGTCACCGGGGGCCGCATCAGCCTCGAGGTTGCCTTCCAAGGGCCGAAATAATTTTAGGACTGTATAAATGTAACTCCTCCTTCACTGTTCAGGAGTTGAAATTACATTGCCTGACCAATGTCAGACATTGGTTAGAGCCAGTGCGGACAGATTTAAAACAGATGGTAATCTCAACTGAAAACTCAGTGCTTTAGTACAATCAGAAATAAATATGTGGTAACTGTCTTGTGTGTCCATGAATACTGCTGGACTAGAATATAGTGACCATGACACCATGGTTGTTGGAGAGGTACATTTTGATATTTTAGGGTCTTTGATTTCTCTCTGCTCTTCATGCCAATTGGGGTTTATAGTTTCTAATGGCCGAACCGACACATGTGGGTGCAGAAGAAATGGCCTCATTTTCAAGGTTTGATTTCTCCATTTTCATTTTTGGAACTTCTTCAAATGCAAAAAGGAAAGATTGGTGGTAGAAGGTTTGTTTTAAACCAGCGAACTAGAACCCTTCTATATGTTCCTTTAAGTGGCTATTAGAGCGTGGAGCAAGCAGTGAACTGGGATAATGTTCTGTACGTCTTCATTTACTTGGAAAAGGCAGCTGGTTATTCATGTGACACTAAGCAGGAAGAGCCCTGAGAGGATGCAGTGGAAGAATGTACACAAAATCCACTTGCCTATAACAAGTCCTACAAATGTGTATCAACAGGAATAGCAGTAGTTCACTTACCACCACCCACACTGGGGCGTGCTGAACCTTTTGGATCGTGGCGGTAAACCTGGAATTATGGGAAAGGCGCTAGGCCAGAATACCTGTCACAAAGATCTACTTTCTATGACAGATCATAACCCAGGACCCACTAACTTAAATCCAAAGCCTTGTTTAATACGTATTTCGGATAACCTTATTTTCCATTGTTTTTGTCTTCTTTCCTACCATGGTCATTTTAAAGCAGCAGATAGGAAAGGGAGATCTGCTGAGAGGCGAGCGCACTGCAAACCACAGGAAGACCCAGGTTCTAGTCTTGCCTTTACCGTGCAGCTCGCTATGCGATCGTGAGCGAGAGCTGCCTCCTCTCTGCACCTCTGTTTTACCGTTAGGAAAACAAAGGGTTTGGACCACTTTATCCCTAAGGTCCCTCTAGGCTGTAACATGCTGCTGTTTTTAGGTGCTACTTGCAAGACTAACAGAGGAGGATTAGACAGCGTTGGCAGGTGGAGAACTGGTGGGTCAAATGGCCTTCACGTTAGAGGATCCCTCAAGGTCATCAGTGTATGATAGCACACAGTATAACAGTGGGTGGTCATATTTATATTGCATTTTCTTTAGGTCAAAGTTAAATTACGATCTTTATCCTTCCCTTGCAAGTGGAGGGGAATTTTAAATGCATTTTAGAGAGATGAGCAATAAAAATTACTAAGATAAAATTTTTAACATTTTAAGAGATTAACTTTGGTTTTCCAGAAAGCGCCTGCATTTCCTTGTTGAGTAAAGTCATCACTATTTGTAGATCCTTGAAATTCTTGTGGAGTCTATCACAAAATCTTTGTGAGTTCCCTTTGGTAAATAATGAAAAACATGGTACAAGTTCCTGGCTTTGTGTTGTTACAGTTGGGTTTTTTTTTTGCCTGTGTTATTCATGTTAATGTCGTATTTTGTGGGCATAGTGGGTGTGTGTGTAGTTTTATATAATTTTAATACATATGTAGGTTCATGTATTCCATGCTGTGGTTGTTCCATAGTTCATTTGACCATTTCCCCATTGAAAAACATCTGGGCTCTTTCCAACTTTGTCTGTTACAAATAAAGCTGCCATACACATTCATTCACAGCATTTTGTGTGAACATAAGTTTTTATTTCTCTGGGATAAGTTCCCAAGTGTACAATTTCTGGGTCATATGGTAATTGCATATTTAGTATTAAAATAAACTGCCAAGCTGTTTTCCAAATGATTTGTGCCACTTTACATTTCCACCAGAAAAATGTATGAGTTTCGCCACATGTTCACCAGCATTTGGTGTTGTCACTTTTTAAATTTTACCTATTTTGATAGGTGTGTAGTGATAGTCTCATTGTAGTTAAATTTATATTTCCTGATGGTTGATTTTGACGCTCTTTTCGTGTGCTCATTTGCCATCCATATATCTTTTTTGGCAAAATCCCTATTGATATCTTTTGCTCTTTTTTTAAAATTGGATAGATATTTTCCCTGTGGAGTTTTGACAGTTCTTTATATATTCTAAATATGTGTCTTTTGTGAGGACTGAGGTTTGCAGATATTTCTCCATAGTCTGTAGGTTCTCTTTATCATTTTAAACAGGGCATTTTGCAGAGTGAATATTTTAAATTTTGATGAGTTTCAATTTATCTGTTTTTTCCTTTGTGAATTGTGATTTTGGTGCCAAATCTAAGAATTCACTGCCTAGCAGTAGACTCCAGCACCATTCACTCAAAAGGCTCTTTTTCCTACATCGAATTACTGCCGCATCTTTGTCAAAAATCACTGGCTGTACTTGGGTGGGTTTATTTACGGATTCTGTGTTCTGTTCTATGTGTCCGTACAGGCGCTCCTTGAGTTATGATGGGGTTATGTCCTGACAAACCCATTGTAAATTGAAAACACTGTAAGTTCAAAACACATTTAAATACGCCTACCCTACTGAACATAATAGCTTAGCCTAGCCTCCCTTAAAGTTGCTCAGAACACAATGTGTAAAAATTGCTGGCAACACAGTATGTTATAAATAATGATAGTTTACCGTCATGGCCACGTCGGTGACTGGGGGCCATGGCATGCTACACTGCCCAGCATTAGGAGGGAGTATCATACTGCATATTGGTAGTCCGAGAAAAGATCAAAATTTGAAATATAGTTTTCATTGAATGCACATTGCTTTTGCATCATCATAAAGTCAAAAAATTGCAACTTGAAGCGCCATAAGTTCAGACCATCTGTATGTCTTTTTCCATATCCACGCCACATGGTCTTGATTACTACAGTTATGCGAGGTCTGTCCAGAGGGTATCCAGCCATGTACTATGAAAAATAGAGACATTTATTGAAGAAGTACAAGATACAAGAAACATTGTCCATAGGATAATCACGCCTCAGTCCCCGTCCATGTAGGCACCTTGGGACCTCACACAGTTCTCCCAGTCGCCATCAGCTGCCCTCTCATAGTTTCCTGAGTCTCATCAATGGTCTGAAATCTCTTCCCTTTCAAAGGTAGTATTAGTTTTGGGAAAAGCCAGGCGTTGCAGGGCACCAAATCTGGGCTGTGGGGGGCTGAGTCACCTGGGTGATTTGATGTTTCGCAAAAAAACCTGCATGAGATGTAATACATGAGCAGGTGCATTGTTGTGATGAAGCTGCCAATCACCAGTCGTCCATAGCTGTGGCCTTCTGAATCATCCAAATATTTCCCATGGAGGAATATTCATGCTCAACTCAAAATTGGATGCAGATTCGTTGGTCTACTCGCTCAGTCATGTTGAATGCAACAGCCATACAGTACGCATGCCCACTCAACGGCATCTACCACCCCCACGGACTGGTACAGTGAAGTCGTCACTGTTCATGCATGCGCATTCCAGTCCACTCTCTTTGGCCACCAGGTTACATCAGTGTCACACAAACGGTTCTTGTTATATTAACAATGTCTGGACTTTTTCTGAACAGACCTCTAAAGTAGGAGTTAATATGAGGTAGAATCTTCCAAATTTGTTCTTTGTCAGGATTGTATTAGCTATTCTATAATTTTTGTCTTTCCATATCAGCGTTTTAGCAAAGCTTTGTCTATGTCTAAAAAACATTGCTAGAATTTCGATAAGAATTTCATTAAAGCTGTGGATCAACTTGGGAGAATTGATATCTCTATTGAGTGTTCTGTTCCACCAACAAGGCATGTCTCTCGATTTATGAAGGTCATCTTTGATTTCTTTGTACAGAATTGTATGAGTTTCAGTATACCAATCCTGTACATGTTATTAGTTGTATACCTAAATATTTCATTTGGAGCAATTGCAGTTGTGAGTAAGAATCGCCTTTTTGATTTTGCTTTCCAGACATTCGTAAGTGGTATCTGGAAACAATTGTTGAAAACTTGGTGAACTGGCTTATTAGTTCTGGGAATCTTTTCATTGATTCCTTGAGGTTTGTATGTAGTATATAATATGTAGAACACGTATTCTGCAAAGAGAAACAATTTTATGTCTTCCTTT